ATATCCCCTGTTTCTCTCTCACTGAATCCCTCTTTTCCTACCTTCCCCTCTCTTCTTCCTCTCCACTTTCTGTTTCAGGAGGTTAAGCCACCCTCGAAGGGGCTTCGGAGGTGAGCGGTATCTCACCATCACTGATCTGGATAAAACATTTTTCAATATTTTGGTAGTTCAAATTCATCATTTGAAGAGGGAAGCGACTTATTTAGCTGACCGTCAGGCTAACTTGGGTGTTAGGCTGCAGCCTTGAATACTCTGGAACCTAACAGCAACCACATTCTTACCCATGATATAATTTTCCTCAGTAACTACTTAAGACCACAATCCACCCTTCCCCTAAAAATGGGTTGTCACAATAAGGTTCAAGTAGGATCCAACCAATGTTGCAAGACTCCGACTGTTCACAGAACTGGAAAGGATACCACGTCATGGGTCATCCGACTGCTGGGTCAATCCAGTCATCCATGACATCATATAGATAAGACATAAAATATTATGTATCATAACCCGTTTATTTTATTTTGTTATTTTTGAAAAGGTAAAGTAACTTTTATTAGAAGTTACAGCCTTGGCACCAAGACAATGTATTGCACTTTTTAATGTACTTTGGTTAAATAGATAGGATGGAGCATAATGCAATTTCAATATTTAATAGAAATCTGATATCTAGGGCACATGCTGGAGAAATTTTACATATGGTGAGAAAAAGTACCTTTCAAAATCCAGAAGTAGGTCCAGAAGTATCATCTCCAAATGAGTCAGATCTATTCCATCAAAAGGCTCTGCTTCAGCAGTTATATCAATAACCCAAACAGCCTCCTAAAGTGAAGTTTTTCAAGTGCAACAAACTGCAAAAACTCAAGAAGGAAGCAAAAGACTCAATTAAGTTCATTTTTTAGATTCGGGCATGTAAGTTGGCTGGTGTATAGAGATAAATACAAGTGACAAAGCATAGCTAAAATAAACAGTTCTTGGTAACTTATTGGCCCAACAGTGTTATGCAGAAAATGCTAGAATAGCAAACATAGCCCCTGTTTAGTATCACTTATTTTAAGTACTTATTGGTTGGACCGCACAATAAGTGGCAAATAAGCACTTATTTGCGTTTGGAAAAAATGGAGTGGATAAGTACTTATTTTCAAAATAAGTACTTAAATAAGCAACCCAGGGGCTGCTTATTTTAAGCATTCCAACATGAACCAGTGGTGGTGACAAGCGACTCCAGGATGAGAAATCATTCCAGGTACGTGAATCTCCTCTATTTTCTCCATTTTTTTGCTCTGTTTTGGGCAACTCTTCATGGCTATAGGTGTCATTTTGGAAAATATAAGTACTGGTTAAGAGGCTCACCGAACACTGTAACCCAAAAAAGTACTTAAAATAAGTTTAAATGGTTTGGGAAAGGACCTCCCAAAGACTAATATGTACTTAAAATAACTACTTATTTCTCAAACCACTTATTCACCAAACATAGCCATAGTAGTTGCAACTCTAAATTTGTTCTATAAAACATGTTTGTCAAATTAAAACATTAATGCATAAAAATATGAAAACCTTTATATTAAAAGGCATTAAGTGTTTTAAAAAATTATATGTACAAATTAAAATTCATAAGCTAATATATAAAAAATTCAAAGTGAAAGTAAAAAGAGATGTAGATTGCACCTAAGTGTTTTGAGCACTCATCAATTCAAGCCTATAAAACTCTCAACTTGCTTGTCTATCTCCTAGTTGCATTACTTCAAGCATCTGGTGTGATGCTAGAAGTCTCGCATTCCTAATTCCAGGTAGATCGGGGCCTTTACGAAGCCAGAGCCAGAGGAAAGGTCCCTTGAGGAAAGCCCAACCAAGCCCATTTAGGGGATTAGGGTTCCTAATTCGCGTTTGCAAATGCATGTTATTCAAAAATCTTGTCATTGTTTTGTGGTTTAATAGTTTATGATTAACATGAAATTCCATATTTGTCACATTGATTCACCTTACCAGGACAAAAACCTAAGTGTCAACTAACCATCTAACTTGCACTGATCTAGACAATGCTGGAGAAAATTCATTAATGGTACCAGGGAGTACATTAAAAATCAAGAAGAAGTTGTGGAAGTATCCTCTCTAAATGAGTCGGTTCTATTTTGTTAACGCCTTCTGCTTCAGCAATAGTAGCAGCACGCTGCACAGCCTCTATATGAACAGAAAGAGACCTCTGTAAGGACATTGAAACAGAAAGCTTAAACATAACTACCTCTTAACTTGAAAGATTTACAGAAAGGTGTAAAAATATTCAAGTAGGCAAAATTATTAAAATATATATACATATATATATATATATATATATATATATATTCAAGTAGGCAAACCTGTAATAAAGACTCTAACAAGTTCGCAGCTCAGTTTGAGGGCATTTGCATTAGCTGCATCAATGGGGACAAATGAGGAACTTAATTGACTGATGCATAACTCTAACAATCAATATTTAAATGAATGCCTTGACCTGATGAAAGTAAAATAGTAAAACACATCCTAGACCAGAGATAATTTAGATCAACTATCAGCCAGTTATGAATGCATTGCAGGGACAACTTCTTCAACCAGCAAAGTGCATACGTATGTGGTACCATGCATTCACGAATTCTGATCATAAAATCTACATTTCAGCCAGTTATGATTCACAAAATATACCCTCAACCAACAGGCATAGGAGCATACAACTATCAATAAAGCCATTACCCAATGTCGGTCCCAGGTATCCAGGATCTTGGGAGGGGTACACTGGATATTCTCACTCCATGCTGAGCAAAAACTAGGGGTGTAAATGGTATTCGAAAATCCGATTTTGAATTCGATATTCGACATAATCGAATCGAATTCAGATAGTTCAAATATCTAATCGATCGAATTCAGATATCCTATTCATACCGAATAGTTAATCGGATTTGAATTCGGATATAACCTAATTCAATTCGATAAATATCCGAATTCGATCGATTATTTAATTCTTATATATATATAATAATTAAGTTATATAAATAATTTATATATTTATATACTTTATATCAATAAAATATTTATTTTATATATTTATTAATTATCTGAAATAATTAATTAATCGAATTCGAGTCAAATCGGATATTCGAATATTTAAATGGATTTGAATCCGGATATTAATTTTCAATATCCGTCGGTTATCGAATAGAATTCGGATATTGAATTTTCTAATCGAATTCGAATTCAGATATTGCCTGATCCTATTTGAATTCGATCCGTTTACACCCCTAGCAAAAAACAGTGAACTTAAAAGCAACACATAAGGTTTTGGGTTACCATAATCACCAACAGTATCTACCTTGTCCCATTTAGGTTCAACAGAATGAATCATTTTTCTCTGTTCTAACTTCTAATCTGTATAATATCAGATCAATTCATACTAGTTTTATCATAATCACCAACAGTATCTGCCTAGAGCACATAACTCCACTTTATTCATCCAACTCTAATTTAAGAGGTGGCATCCTCTTTATTCCCTCTTTACTCTAGACAATAGAAAAAATAATAAGTAATCACTTTTCAGAATACATATTGGTACATATAAACCTGAATTGATTTTCTAATTTTATAGGTAGCATACTAAGCCTATAAAACATAAAACAAACAAAAAGGGCATAACCAGAATTGAATATGTTGTCTTACCAATTCCATCTTGACAAAAATATTGCCACAGGAAAGGGAATATTATCATAAGATACAATGTAGACAGAACAAATACCAGTTGTTGGTCGACTTTTTTTGGATGGTCCAGCTCCAAGCTACACAAACCAAAAGAGCTTGTTGGTAATCAAACTTGATCATGCAAACAATATACTATACATATATGCATATATATATATATATATATATATATATATATATGCACACATATAGAAATAGACAGAGAAATACTTGGTAAAAGCTTTGAAAAGGAAGCTTGCACATTAACATTATTTATTCAATCTGATTACTTCCAAAAGTATCTCCTAACCAAAGAGAATATTCAACCAGGATGAATCTACAACAGAGTCATTATGTAGAATAAATTACTGCAGGTTGGTTTGCACATTAATAAACTAGCCAAAACCGGAGCTCCATGTGGCTTGCAAACCAAAACAAATAACACTGGCTTGTCAATCGTCAAGGATTTAAAATGTGATTTCAAACAATGTTTCGGCCTGGTCCAATATGAAAACTTTTACCCAATTTTTAATGAAATTTTGTGATTTATCAAAATTTTAAGAAAAAAATCAACACCCTTAACCGAAAAACACTATTTAATCTTATTACTTCCAATTTTCTGGTTATTCCCATTCCTTATCCATTTAAATCTTATTTTAACTTCAATTTCTTCTTTATATCTATTTGTCCTGTTATATCTGAACTTTATTTTGAAATAATAGGATCTGATATTCCATTGGCATCTTGTTAAATGTATGACAAAATTTAAATCTGTGATTATCATCAAAGGAGATACGATGAAAAAGAATGTCGACAAAGGGCCCAAATATAGGGATGTGAATTACTTCTTTCTTTTGATAACTAGTAAGAAGAGAGACATATACACCATTCAGTAATGAAAATAAGCATGTTTGGTTTGCCATCCTTCTTTCCACTACTCAATAGGAGTCTACCAAAATGACCTCCTTAGAAAGAATCTATCTTAGTGTACTGCAATGATTAGGAGACAAGGTGTACATTATAAAATTTTGATATACAACATACAAACATAATGAGAATTCAAGAAATAAGTATAGTAAAAGAAAACTAACATTGCACTTCCCTGCAGACAAGTCGTTTATCAAGAAAGAGCCTATGACTAGATCATAGAGAAGTAGATGGATAGACTTTCTGAGGTTCTAAATGCTGGCCATGAGGATAAAGCAAATTTAAGGCCTTCAGATCAGGGTATAGACCAGGAAAATAACTCCACACGCGATGATAAGCATGATAATCAATTGATTTAAGAAACCCAAATCATCATAAACAATAATTGAAGAACTTGAGAGATGGAAAGGTTTTAAGATAACGGAATGCTAGAGAAACAATAACCAAAAAAAAAAAATAACAATAATGAGCAAGGGAAGTAAGGAGAGTCAAAGAAGAGGACAAAATATAAAACATACCTCGCCTTCCAAATTGTCTGTGCCTTCTTTCTTCTCACGTTCTGTGCAAGGGAGGGAAAAAAAAGTTGAAAAAATGTGAAAAACTATAAATGTTAATTGGCTTAAGGAGAGGACGTAAATAATGGAGACAAATGGAAATATCTTAACCTAAGGATCTTCTTTTCCAGACAAGCTTGAAAATGGCGTGCATCAGATCCTGAACAAAAGATATCGTCAGATAAACAGACCAGATAAAAATATTAAATGCACAACAACATAAATGAGAGAGAGAGAGAGAGAGATTACAGGATCGAAAGTGTTCTCCATGGAAAGAACTTCCACGGTAATGGTTAAAGTTTCGCTACTTTGGAAGTTGAAGTAGGGATTAGCAAGTTGATATTTTATAGCACGACGACCATCCTCAGATTCATCATTCCACCATTAATACAGTATTGGCGAGAACGCTTTCCCTTCGCAATTTGAACAACACTAACGAAATGAATCAATGAAGTAGCTTTGTTGGAAAGCTCTTTGCCTTCAGCTTTAGGGTTCGATTCGGGTTCCTATTTTACATTCCCTTTTTTCTATGATACCGGACGGTTGATTGGTTCTCAGTTTTCACTATCATACCTTTCCGGCATCATAGATAGATATTATTATCATGCCATGCCTAATTGCCTATTGCCTTCTCCGTATCTAAAAGACTAAAATTTTGATAATGGTGTGTCCATGTGACTCGCCACGTCAGCGGAAAGGTGTTAGATCCCAATCGGACGGTTAACAGGCAGTGGTTCAGACTATGCTATTTTCTGGCTCACCTCTCTCCCTCATAAATTTGTAATGTCGATGTACAAGGGTTACTGTAATGTAAGTCTGTACCTCCCTTCCTCCTCCCGTCCCCCGCACAAACCGTAACTATTAGTTATTGGTTTCCCGTCGACAACAGGGAAGGAAAGTGAATCAAATAGAGCAGCAATCAATGGCCGGATTTCTGCATAAATTCCTCAAGAGGCCTTCCTCTCTGAGAATCATCACAAGCTTCAATCACCTCCAACCGTCAAGGCTTGCAGTTCCCTTCGGCCTTCATCAACCTAATCTCACTGGAAGCAAATCAGACAATCAGTGTTACTTAAACCCTGTACTGGGATCTGTTGAACAACACAAGCCCACCTCTCCACAGCTCTTGCAGGTTTACCCTAGTTTCCCCTTCGGGTATTGTCTGAATCAAATTCCCCAAACCGGTTTCGATCAGGTGAACGATGAGGAAGCTGAGGCCGGGTCGTGTGATACTCGGACTATTTGGGCTGACAGTGTCAAGAAGAAGAGGAAGAGGAAGATGAACAAGCATAAGTACAAGAAGCTTAGAAAGCGTCTCCGGCGACAGACCTAGATTCATGCGGTGAGAGTTAATATGGGGGATATATAACCTTCTTTTTTATGATATGTTACTCCAATTGTTGGCCCGTAGTGACATAACAATTTTCTTCTTTATTGAGTACTGACCAATTGTATTGGAAGGGATGGTTGATGGCTTTAATGAGTTATATTTCGTTGTGAATGACAGTTGAGAGTTCCATTTTACAGGATAACGACGAGGCACTTTCGCAAGATTTGAGTACTATTATTTTCTACTGTTTTTGGGCATTAGTTATGAGGGATGCTGTGAGAGTAGAATGAGTTCGCTTTGCTAAATTATTATCGCCCCTCAAAATTCAATATGAATCTGAATGATTGACCTGCTGATATGCTTTTTCTATATATTTCTCTACATTAGCATGTCTGTAGGCAACAGGAAATGATGAAAGACTCTAGATGCTTTGAGTGCTAGATTTTACACCTGGTAAATGCTCTGTTAAGGTCCTTTTTTGTTTATTGTATGCCAGTGAATCCATGTTTTGCAATGTTAGACAAGATACAAGTGATATACCTTACGGCCTTACCATCTAGATGAAGAGGATCTGGAGAGTTTCATCTATGCCTTTAAGATGGCGACTTGTGAATCTCATTTTCTTGCTTAGTTGCTTCCAGTTCTCTATGATACTTGGATCGGATGGACAAGGTTTCATATATGGAATTTGCATTAAAAAATTGAAGTATACACCATGCATGTACAGGTATCCAGGTATCATAACCTATTTATAAAGTGGATTATGCTCAATGTGCAAGAGTTATTGATATTTGATATATTGATTTGGTACAACAAAATAACATGCTCCTGTAGGAAAGACAATTCATTATTTAAAGAGGGCAAAATTTTTTAGTAAGAGTCCTTCATGGTATCCATGCCCCATCACAAACTAGGCATGGAAGAAAATCCTAGCATGCCACCCTCACAACCAATCAACAATCCCCAATAGATACATGGGATTTCTTGTCATTAAGGCTGTCAAAGGGTTGTATTCAGATTGGAATTCCTAGATTCAATTCAGTCCAATTACATATTTAAGATATCAGATTCAATTTAATTAAATCCAATCAATTCAACAGAAAAAGGGTTGCCTGGTCATATGTTGATCAGATTTGGGAATCATGAATTCAATTAACAATGGTTTTCTTGTAGTTCAAACTACAAGCATTTAGGTTAAAAGTATAAGACTTGAGACAACTGTTGAGTTGTGCCTTGAATTCTTGTTGCGGCCCACTCCATGACCCAACCTAACTTTTTTGGAGAAAAACCCAGAGCAGAAATATGTTATGTTAATCACAATGGGCTGACCGAGGAGGACAGAGTGTTAAGGAGACAATTAAAAARGGAGTTGGAAGAAGTGTTATTGAGGGAAGAAATCAGTTGGAGACAAAAATCTAGACACAAGTGGATTAAGGAAGGCGATGGGAACACTAGATTCTTCCAT